GCTCCAGTTTGTGAATGACACTACAACCGACTGATTTAAGTGTCTTCTCTTAAATCAATAAAATTGTTAAATTACATGAAGTCATACTTTTTATTTTTACATTTGGATTATTAAACAGTTTTACTGGTTCAACACACGAGCAATGTCTGAAGCAGAGCACACATATTGTAGGACTTTTGGAAAAATGGAAAGAATGCAGTATAGTTAATTTTAAATAGCCCACTTTATATGAGTGCTCTGTCAAATGCTGAATACTTAACCAGTTGACTTAAATCTGCTTGAACTAGTCTGACTAGGCTTATATTAATGCAGGGTCAACATGTGGAAATGGTGTCACTCCAATGAAATCTGTGTACTGCTCACTGTCCTCATTATCCTATAGTCTACTAAAACCTGTACAGATTGTATAATAAACTGGTATTACACAGATGTCCCATTCTATAAATCCATACTTGGACCCTTTTTCTTATACAGGAATATTAATGTATAGGATAACTGGGAACAGATATTGAAGAACACTTGCTAAATACTTAGAGATTTAGGCAAAGTTAGGACGTTATATTTTTATTATAAATGTGTGTCTTGGTCGATGAAAATGTAATGAACTTTACAGTCCTAAAAAGCACTACTGAGGACGACGTACTGCATCTTGGCTAAACCGGGATGTAGGATCTATTAATTTGGGGCAGTGTTTCGCCCAGTCAGCCACCAGAGGGCGGTATGTGCTCACTGTGGGGAGCAGCTCTCATACCCCTGTCTGTTTGCCTTGACGAGACACTCGGGTCCATGTGCGAAAGTAAACCCTCTCCGGATTGGCTCTATCTTGAACGCGGCCATCTTATGCACTCTGTCAACATAGGGATTTTACGACTGAATACATGATTTAATCATGCGCTCTCCGGCGCGGGCTTGCGGTGGCAGGAGGGTGGCATCGTGCTAGAAGTTCTAATGCTGTGCGAACCGGTTTCTATTTTTACAGGGAATGGTGACACTATGTCAAACTGTCGCTGGTCCAATCACAGAGGAGGTCACTAATATGTAAATGCACTGTTATCACAGTCACGTCAGCAAGAGCCGAAGAGCTGTTGTGCTGTGGTCGCCAGCAGGAGTACAACTAACAACAGAGTCAACTTCGCCGATAATACTCTTTTTACGTTCACGTTTGGGGCTACGCCTTGGGCTTCGTTTCAGGTAAGCAATAACTCCTCCTTTGAGGATTTGTGAGAGGTGTTTTGGACTCGTTGGCTATTGTTTCATTCAGGCTAGGAGCTGTCAAATTTGTGACAGCGAGGCTCGCCTCTGCTGTATGATGACACACCGCCTTGCCGAGTGTATCTTCCCAGTAGAAATTAGGCTGGTGACTTGCCAAACTAGTCCGTATTAGTTTTACTTAAGTTGACCTATAAATCAGCAAATGTCATCGTACTTTCTCGCAGTTTGCCGAGTAATCGAAGATAAGCGCGACTCCGAAGTTGTCCTTCGTGGTTCTTGGTCATGGTGGTCCTGAACTGACAGCGACCAGCCGGCCTCACTCAGCACCGCACTTGAATGTGGACGCGGTGACTGTCAGCAGTGGCAGTACGTCGACTAGGCAGCGTTTAAGAAATGAAAGCGAAAAGTCGGCGGAGGATAAGAAACAAGTTGTATTATCACGCACAACATCTCTGTCGACCTTTTCATCCATCTCCGGCCTCCTCCTCCTCCTCTTCTTCGGCGAGCAACCGTCACGACACCTTTTGAATCCTGAGGCTTCCAAAGTGGAGGTCTGGCTCGGAACACGTGTGACCCATCTCAACAACCCGGGGGTAACATTTGGGAACATCACGTCACACGTGCATTTGTTTTGTTTCCACTTTGCGAGCAGTTGCGCCTAAAGTAGCGCAACACATTGCCACTTCGCTGGCTTGTCGAACACCACGCTCAGGAGCTGAAGCCATTGGGCGAAGATGAAGAGGATGCTGCCGTCTTTAGCGGTGAGCCCAGTGTCTGTTTCACTGAGTAAGACTCCTCATCAAAGCTTCAAAAACACGTCGAGCGTCTTATTGTGGCACCACGGTAACAATTTAGACGTTTAAAGAGTCGTGAGCACTAAATGAAATGCGCTTTCAGTCAAAGCAGCACTTTTATTCGAAGGTGACCACCTTTAAGCATTTTAGTCTTCCGGAAATACTGCCGTAAAATTAATGATATCTGCTGCTTGTTAGCTTGATGTTGTGTGACTGAGGTGCGCAGAAGTGGCCGTTTGTGAGACATCAGTGCCAGGCTTCAGTGACGACCACGGGACAGTTATGTACACAGTTCTTGTTGATATTGGGCGTCAGTTGCACGTGCCTGGATGGTGCTTACCGCGTCATGACTATGTAGAAAACAGCTGGAAGGCTACAGAGGCTGAAGGCACTGGCCTGGGCTACGTGACTCTGGGCCACTTGGGGTGTTTAGGTTAGCAGTGGCGTGCATGGCTAGCAGGCTCAGGAGTGTTCTGCACTGGGAAAGATGGTATACACGTGTATCGTTTATTAAACATTACAGTTTAGTTTTTAATGCACACCTTGCCTTTATTTCCACTTTACTGATGCAGATTTACCACAAACCGACTCTTTCAGCTTTCAGCTTGGCTTCAGTTATGTTTTAGTGTGAATAGCAAAGAATTATCTGCCAAACAAGTGTTTGTAAGTCATTTCAACTAAGACAAATGAAATGTCTCCACTAAATGAAAGGACACATTCATGCATTATCTATAGTTTGGAACAAACCCCAAAATGTCAGCTCAAATGATTAGTGCACATCCATCTTAAGTGACCTATGTGTATAGGAAACAACATTTAACATGAATAATTTTAACTCCCAGTATGACAGGGAACAGTTGTAAATTTTCTAAAATTGCTTGGCTCTGGATATAGTCTGTGTCTTCTTGGGCCGGTATGCCTCTTATTTAGTTTGTTGACAGACTGTGAGGCAAATAATCAGTGTGTTGACTGTATAGGCAGCCAAGGACCCTTAAGGTAACAACTGGGAATGTCACATGATTTCCCAACAAATAGGATAGTGAGCAGCACTGGAGTGAATTTGTAGTTGGAAGCACAAACCAACTGAAAACAGGAATGGCTACATGCTTGTGTCAACAGATTTTTTCTTGCAACCTGTTGACTGTGGTTGGTGGGGAGAGTGATAATGCAAATTGGGCATGTACCATGCATACCTGTTTGCCTGACAGTGAGCTATATGCAGTACTGTCACAGTAAACTAGAGCTTTTTTTCAATCTGTTTCTTCAGTTTACAATTTAAGTTTGGTTTAGGCTTCATGTTTTTAATAATTGGACTCAACAAATCCGTACTCGGGTTTTTCCAGCAGCTTTCTATAGTCTGGCCTCAGTCCTTAACAGAATTTCTAGTATAGACAATATTAGAGATGCACCAGTGGATTGATTAGAGATCGGAATTGGACAGTTTTAGGCCACTTGGCCATGTTGGTGACCTGCTGATCAGTCTGAGGTATCTGATTCTGTGCAGGTCGTACTTGCAGGCCAAATGGTCTACGTTGTACACACGGTGGCACAGACCAAAATCATACCGTGTGCAGCTGTAGGAGAAAGACAACTACATCCAAATTTCTGACATATAGTACAGAATGAGCGAATTACTGGCTACACCTCATATGCATTATGTATATTGTATCCAACCAGTGGTAAAACACAAAATAAAAATAGCAGATGCTTTAAAATGAATTCAGTGGGATTGAAGCATCAGACATCATTCTGTTTTTATTACCAGTTACACCTGTTCACATTTGGATAACTACAGCTATTGCACTTTTTGTGGGGGGGGGGGGGTTCTTTGAGTATGTTACAGTGATAAGAAGACAGAAGAATTTACATAAGATATTACATTTTCTTTTTATTTTTACAATAAAAATGTTCATTAAAGAAAATTCCAGAAATGTATGTGTATGCTGTCCCTTACAGTTCTAGGAGAGGAAATCAGAATCAGCAAGTCTAACCTAGAAAAAAATCATAATTGTTCAAGAAAATTGCAGTTGGTGCATCACTAAACAAGTTAATATTTAATCCAGTTTGATAATCCGCCTGTACAAATTTAAATGAGAGTTTTAGTTTTAATGACTGGGTTAAAATAATGATAAAAAAAAAATCTCACAAATCTAGTAATAACTCAGTTAGTGAGAAAAAACAACATGTTCCTTGACTTATTGCAGTAGAGACTGAGTGATATGATACCTGAGCTTCCAGAGGCATGATAAAAAATATGATTTGGCTTCTAGTTACTGAGATTAAAAATCCTGAATCATTTGACGAGTGGGTGAACCTACTCATAAGTATGACAGGTATGAAAACAGGACAGCACTATGGAGGAGAGGGGTTTAGGAGAAGGTTCTGGGATGGAACCTGCTGGGGTCTCTATGTGGAGTTTGAATGGTCTCGCTGTGCCTGTATGGGAGTTCTCCAAGCACTTCGGTTGTCTCACTTCCCACACACATGCAGATTAGGTCAATTGCTGACTCTAAAATTGCCCTTAGGTGTGAATGTGAATGGATGTATGTGTCAGCCTTGTGATCAACTGGCAGCCTGGCCAGTGTGTACCCCACCTCTCACTTAGTGTCAGCTGTGGTAGACTACAGACCCCCATGACCCAGCAAAGGATAAGGAAGTATTAATTATGAATAGAAATGCAAGTAATGGATCCAGTAGAGACAGTTGGTCATCTAAGTAAGTAATGGATCCAGTAGAGACAGTTGGTCATCTAAGTAAATACATTTTTTTACATTAACAGCTTAGCCTAGATTTTGAACAGTCGGTCATTTAGAATGACAGAGTCAAAGTGGGATTTACGTACAAACACATCAGCAGCAGGGCACCTAACGGTTGAATAGGAGAGATCAAGCTTTCTTTGTTTCAGGACAATAACCTGCCGTTCCTCACAAATCACATTTCAGGGCTACAGCAGAGGTGTGTAGCTTGTTTTTTGTGAAATGCAAGAACCCTGACAGATTCACTCACAAACTGTACAAATACATTAATGTTGTGCCTGTGGTGATTTATTTGAGTTTGAGGATGTTTATTTACTTGTATGAACTGGTTCATGAAAACACAGAGTTTCTGAACCCAAATTTAGAGTCTGCTTTTGGCACCTTATCCAGCATTGTTGTGTTATTTATAAACTACTGTATACTGAATTTATGTTCTAATTACTTGTTGTCAGTGTAAGTAATTTGTAGTAGTTTTGCCTGTGATTACAAATAACATGCTGTAAAACCCCACTGGCAACACCTTGTGTATATGGGAGAACAGTACCAAATTTCTTTATGATTGTCATGCACTAGCCCATCATTTGAAATGTATATGAAAACATTCAAAGTATCTCTGCCAGTTAGACTAAGACACTGGAGAAACATCTCTGCTGTTGTGTGCCTGTGTGCATTGCAAGTCAGCATATAATGACTGACCTGAGTAAGCTTCTGTCATCTTCCGCTGGTCTGTGGTTGCAGAACACACACGCACACACACACACACACACACACACACACGGAACTTATCTGTCTCTGTCCCTAGCTGTTGAAATTCTATCAGCTGTCTACACCTCCCACGCATTCTGCAGCAGCAGCAGGGTAGGTGCTTCATTGGTTGTGGGGGTGAAGGGCTGAGGTGCGCTTGTGTGTATGTGTATGTTAATGGAGAGGGGGTACAGGAAGAGGCACCTGCTGGTGGCTGGTGGTTGGTTTGCACCAGCTGCTTTACTACACACATGAAAGGCAGTGCTGACAGATAATTGACAGTACTGAATTTCTCCCTAACCCTTCTGACCTAGCCATTACCTGTCTTTTGAAAGCTTTTTGTCCTGCACTGAATGGGAATTCATTCAGTTTTCCTAGCCTACAAGCATGTAGCTCTGATGAGTAAATGGAAGACAAAAATTGATATCATGGGGAAGAACATACACTTAATAAACTGTTATCTCAGACAAAAATGTTTAATTTGTCTGTTTTTGTGTGGTGTAGCTTCTTTTGAATTATTTCAATGAGTATCTTGTTTGCCATGCAGACTCTGATCTGCTCTTCAGCTAGACCACATCTTGCTTAATAAAAGCACATTTTTCTCATATTAACGATGTGTTAAAAAACTCTTTCCTTTGTTTTTTTGACAGGAACACTAAATAATGGACATGCTGTAGCTGTTTAGAAAGTGAGGCTCCCTGGGACCAACTTGGATTCAGTGGTGTTCCAAAGGTTCCAGTCACCTTGCAGGCTCTGCCATGGACTTTTTTGATGACCCCAACCTCTTTGTTGGAGGTTTGGAAGGGCTGGATGAGGATGGCTTTCCTTCAGCACCCTCACTTGTGGATGAGTTAAACCTCAGTGCTGACTTTGAGCCCCTCCAAGTGGAGCCTCTAGGACCAGGGAAGCACCATGGCATGATGCCACCAGTTTCTACTCATCAAGCCATGCCTGCTTATAGTCAGCCAATGAGTCACTACATTGGCATAAAGGGGCAGAATCTTATGGGGCAGGCATTTTCTGGTCCTGGAAGCACAGGTGGTGGAGGTGGTGACTTGATTACAGAGCAGCATGGCCTTTACCACAATCCTGCCATGAACCAATTACCTCAATCCAATGGGCTGTTCTGTAACAGCAGCAGTCCAATGTGGGGCAACCAAGACCAGAATGGGAATATGTACCATGCCTTATCTCAGCAACAGCAACAGCTTTGTCAGCAGCAGCAGCAACTGCACAACCATCAACTTCATGTCAGGCAACAACAATCACAACAGCAACACCACCCCTGTCATGGTCAACAGCAGGAGCAGCAGCATAGAATGCGGCAGCTGCAGCAACAGCAAAGTCATCAGCAACAGCTGTTAAACCAGTGCCAGCACCAACAGATTAACCCACAGACTGTTTCACTGCAGCATCACAATTTCTCCTTTCACCAGGGAAGTCACTCTCAGCAGCAGGTTCACCACCAACTAAGTGTAGGAGGACCAAGGTTCCATTCAAGAGCTCTGTCAAATAAGTCTTATTTGGATAGTCAAAATGCTTCTCTGAGTGGGGCATGCTTACAACAACAGCAGCAGGGTAGTTACCAGGCCAGAGGAGGCCAAGCTTTCTCTGGATCTCAGCTGGAAGATCCTAACCTGCCATTCCCAATGCATTCATCATCTATGGTTCACTCCCTGTCAGTGTGCTCAGTCAGTTCTGATACAGCTTACCCACCAGCTCAGTACCCTGCCTACCCTGGAGAGCCAGAAATACCCAGCCACAGTGAGCAGTCTTTGTGCTCAGCATCAGTGTCTAGACCCACCACCACTGCTGCACTCCTCACGTCCACAGTGCCTGAGCTCTCAGGGAGAGACTGTCAGTTTCCATCTACAGCAGTTATAAGTCAGCACCACACTAGGATGCCAGTTAGCCAGGCAGGGGAATGTCCTTTCAGGGCCCTGTGCTGTTCTGGTGAAACCCAGGGAAACTGCAAGTCATCTGAAATATTTGGTGAATCCATGAGCTGCTATCCTAGCATAGCCAGTCATCTGCCCTCTGAGCAGCTTGAGAGCTGCGGGGCCATCAATGCTAACGGATTCCAGGCCTTGGGAGACCGTCTCCTGCCATCAGAGTCTCAGGATGGAGACTTGGAGGGTCTGGACCCTCCTGACCTCCTGCCTGACCTACTGCCCCAGCTGGAAGCGGCTCTCAGTCAACAGGATGAAAGTGACTCTTGCTGGGCTGACTGCAGCCAGGAGAGGGGACATGAACACAAGAAACCACCTCCTGCTTACGTCAAGGAAGAGAAGGTAATAACGTTAAATATTTGTTTCATTTATTTGGTCCTTAAAATATTTAGCATGGTACATGCATGGTAGGATATTACCATGCATGTACCATGCTAAATATTTTAAGGACCAAATAAGTGAAGTGGTTAAGGTGCAGCACTCTCGCCGCCACGGCCCAGGTTTGAGTCAGGGTTGTGTCAGGAAGGGCATTCGGCGTGTAACGCGTACCAAATGTCAACATGTGAATCGTCAGTGTGACGATTCGCTGTGGTCACCCCTAATGGGAAAAAGCCAAAAGTGACATTCACATGCATGGTAGGATATTGCAGGTGTACTGTGTCAGAGCAACCCCCTGTATATAATTGTCTCTGAGCTGGTCTAGTTTATATTAATATAGTCTGTGCTCAATGTCCTTTATCCCTATTTCCCTCCAGTTTAGATTATTGAGAAGTCAGAGGAGTGAAGATTAATATTAATTGAACATATGACATGTCATAATTTCATAATCTTTGCCGTACTAATGTAGATCATTTCCTGGCTGACATTGTGAGAATTTGTTTATTTTTCCAGAATATCATGGCACAGAATCCAGTCACTCATGTAATGTTTAACTAGCTATCCCAGAGAGAACATGTGCTTGTCTAGTATAAACCTGCAATCAGTGGTGGAGTGGGGGAAGGTGGAGAGGCGGTACCTATGGCCCTCTAAAAGCCTTCTGAAAATGATAAGACTGTCAAGCATGGCCTGTCTATCTGCCCAGTGCACTGACAGCAGGTCAGGCCTGATTAGGCTAAGAGTGGCAGGCGGGTCTCCAGGACTTAGCCTTAAGCATACTTAGGGCTATATCAAGATGTGGGTCAGGGCAAGCCAGAGGCACTTGCACACTGCCTTGCTGGAGTGTGGGGGAGGCCGCATGCTGTTGTGGTAGCTGTCACAGCTTCTGTGTGTGCGTGAGTGCATGTGCACGTGTGAGAGAGCAGTCAGGAGGAAAAGAGCTTGGTGAAGGAGAGTAGTTAGCACTTGAAGGAGGGGGAGGGTGTTTGGGAGAGAGCAGTAGCTCATGGAAAAAGAAGAGCTCAGGAAAGAGACAGAGGAAAAACGAGAGAGAGGGAAGTGGAGGGGGAGGTTGGGAGAATGCATTAGCTGGATGTAACAGGCTTCAGGCGGTTCCTGGACCACAGTTGGCTAGTAACTTAGCAGCATCCACATAGCCTCCTGGTCCACAAGTGACACATGAAAAGTAGCAAAAGCAGCAGATGTTTCATCCTGATCTGCACACTTTTAAAAAGAACATGTGAATTTTAACATATCCACATGTCTTGTTTTGATCTTATAACCCCCTTTTTTTTTATGTATTTGCACTTACCCTCGTGTGGCAAATTCACGAATACCTACAGTTTTCCAGTTTGAGTGATTCATTTAAATCTCTCTAATCAGTATTCTGTTACTGGCAGCACACCCATTATATCCCCTCACTTCTGAAACCAAATCTGTGTTCATGATCCAAAACACAACCTGTGAGTAGTGCTTGACTGTACCTGAATAGGCAGCAAGTGACAGCAACACTAGTGGTCTGCCTAAACCAGAGCTCTTCCACACAAGCTATTTGACCATCTGCAAAGGTCCTTGATTGAAATGAGGCCATGAAACACAGCCATAAGAATGAGCCTTTCCCTGTCTGTGTCAACATCCAGCCCTGTGTTGATGCTCACAGGCTGACTGTGCTATTCATGTGCACTGATGTGTGAAGAGCCTGCTGATGGTGTGTTTGCTGAACAGGCAAGGCATCAGGGGATAGCTGCCCACTTTTCATTCCCCCGCAGTGAATGTGGCTAATTAGGATTTCTAATGGTTGTAATAGTCAGGTGCAGCTGTGATGAGCAACCGAGGTTCAAGATTGAATAGTTCTCCCAGGTTGCCATATTCAGAGGTTAAACTCAATAGATAAATAAAGCTTCCACAGTCCAAAGACATGCATCAGAGGTAAATTGGTGACTCTATTGCCCATAGGAGTGAGTGTGGTTGCCTGTCTCTTAATGTCAGCCCTGTGATAGACTGGCAGCCTGTCCAGGGTGTACCCTGCCTCCTACCCAATGTCAGCTGGGATTGGCTTCAGCCCCCGTGACCCTTGTTAGGATAAGCGGTATAGAAAATGGATGGATAATTATAATGTCTTAGGCCTAGTTGCAAATTCAAATGAACAGATGTGTGTGGAATTATAGCCTGGCCCATGAAACATTTCAGCCATTGCTAGGAACTTTGTCTGAGGACGTACAGTAGTTCAGGCTAATTGGCATCAAGCACTCTAGTGAAACCCTTTTGAGTTGAATGCCACTATGTGATATTTACAGGAGTACATGTAAGTTGTATGTACTCATGTGACTCAGCAGTCAGTATTTATAATGTGACTAGTTTCGAAGTTAAGACCAGTGTCTATTGAGATATCTGAATAGCTAATATGTTTAGGTTGCAATATGGCTATAACTTGTCAAAATGTTGCAAATCACTGAGCAGGACTGTAGCTGTATTGGATCTACAGGGTTTTCACATTAATGTGATGATGTGTCTGATTAGTCTACTGACTGGATAGTTTTTTTTTTTTTTTACAGTACTTCAACATGGATTAGCCAAAAACAGTTGTTTATTTTCCATCTGGTCATTCCATTTGTATTGTAAATGGTTTCTTGATTATATTTCCAGTTGAGAATTGCCATATTGTCCACCCATACTGTTTAAGGATGCACTGGCAAAACAATAACAGTAAGATTGTCAGGTGGTTAGCATCACCAGGGGTGTTGGTGATGAGATGCATAATGGCACATGAGATACACATGGACAGCAATATTTGGTTTGGCGTATAACTTTGGATGTGCAGTTTTTCCACTTACCGTATAGTTTATTTTCAATGGGAGATTTGTCTTACTTCTTTTGTATCACAATCCTAATGTGTCTGGATTTGGATTTCATAGATCTATATATGGGTACGAATTAAACTAAACCCCAAAGGCAAAAAGGAAACTGGTTCTTGAGATTCGTGGGACAACAGCAGCACATTCAAGACACCCTTTACTTGTGTACTCGGGATGAAAGAAGATGTTTGCTACCTTGATTTCAGTTCATTTTGTCTTTCTAACATTGTGACACTGTGGACATTAAGACAACTGTCCCCAGCAAAACAAAACAAAACTGAGTTTAATAATCTTGAGTTTAAGGAACGTTTTTAATTCCATTTAGATGGATCACTTTCACTCTGAGTCGGTTACAGTGGTAACTTTCTGTGCGACTCTTACCTGCTTGCTGGAAGGTTTTCTTCGATGAACCCTTGAGTATCTCTGTTTCCACCCCTCCTTCCAAACTTGAAGAAGCTGTCAGACATAGTGACTCATTTTCTTATTCATACAGTTGATTTCATTAGATTCATTAGAATTCATTAATATGCGGAAGCCTTCACTGGGAGAACAATATCCAAATCCCAGTTGCATATTAGTAGGCCTGCCCCCTAAAGGTTGACTAGTCGAATCATCAGTCGAGAGACTCATCAGTCAACGGAGACTTTTGTAGTTAAGCCTTTGTTTTTATTTTATTATATTTTATTTGTGCTTGGGCACCTGTTTAGGATGCCTCCTGGACGCCTCCCTGGGGAGGTATTCCGGGCATGTCCCTCCGGGAGAAGGCCTCAGGGCAGACCCAGGACACGTTGGAGAGACTATGGCCACGTTCACACTGCAGGCTGAAGTGGCTCAAATCCGATCTTTTTGCCCAAATGTGACCCATATCCGATTTCCTTATGACAGTGTGAACACCAGTGTAATACCACAGTGTAAAAAGACGTTGCTACAGTTAAAAAGCCTGCACTCAAAGCTTTACTCAAATAAAAAAAGTATTAGCATCAAAATACACACAAAAATAAAAGCACAGAATGTCCTATTTTATAATAATATTATTGGGTTATAAATACTGCTGCATTAATGTGTTCATCTTTAATGTTGTAGTTTGTAATGGTGGGACTTGTTTTAATTGCTGTATATACTTTTGGGTAGCTTAAGCTATAATGAGAGGGGTTAGAGAAGACTGTAGCCATCAATTAGTACATCACTTTGTGACTTTTTCCTTTAAAATAAAACATCACACTGTCATTTCTGTAAATTGTCCATTTGTTACTAAAGCATTTATCAGTAATGCAGTTAATATGAAAAGAAAATATGAATGTGTTGTGTTGCATGTTGACTTACTACTAGTGGAAAAAGTTGTTTTGGAGCCCTGATAGAGTTAATTTTGGAAAATAACACCTGAGGTTTATTGCAGCGCTTTGTAACCCATCAAGTGAAGTGTTGTGATTTAGCAGTTTATACCACTCTCTGGTACTCAGCAAGAGTGTTCTTTAAAATATCTAGACACACCTGCAATTTTTCCATTTTCTCTCTGCAAATCTGCAGTTTTCTGAGGGTTGATTGGGTGGAGTGGTTTAACCATGGCTGTGATTTAGGTTTAACACATCTTGAGCGTACAGGTGAGAGAGAGTCCAGGATACCAGAACAAGTGTAATTAAAAATGGACAGAAGTTAATCTGAGGTCAGATGGGAAAATGAGCCTTCAGCCAAGGGAGATTTGTCCGGCAGTAAGTAGGGTGATCCTCTGACTGCTGCAAGCCAGGATACAGGATTTAAACATTGGAAGGGATATTTCGATACCAAAAAGAGCAGGCAAGTGTTCAGAGACCCTCGTATCACATATTTCCATGAAAATTACTGGTAAGCCACTCAAGAGGAAAAAGGCCCTTGACCATGTGTGGGGCCACAAACAGAGTAAGATTAAATGAATCAATGATAATCATAAAATATTTCACCACTGGCTTAGATAAGCAACATGCAGTATGTGAATATTAATATCTCCAAGAATTAAAAGCTTATCACATGTATGTATAATCCCAAACCTCTCAAGTCCTTGTTAAATTTGGAAGGGCCATGAACCAGTGCACATAATAAACAACATGAAAATTTGCCGTCAAATAACTGCAGCTT